ATAATAATTTCTAATGCGTCAGGATGACTGGCGCGATCTACCAGTAAATTGTATGTTCGTCCTTCCATAAACGTTACAATTTTCGTATTGATGTGTCATTGCAGTTGCAGACGAATCAGTTAGCCTACACACAGAGTCGGTCTCAAAAGAAAGCACTCATACTTGCCATTTTATTCGACGAACTACAATTTCAGGTTGATATTTTAGTATTACACTCGACCCAATTAACGATCCAATATTAGTACTGTGTTTGATGCTGTGGTTCTCGACATTAGGTACCTGTAAAATACTCCGTGTTGACAAGGGATTGCCGCATTGCCAATCCAGTAATCAAATGTGATTTCTTCGTTCACACAAATATCTTTGAAAGTATAAAGACCACAGCAAGCTCTCCATCGATCTCCCAGATCAGCATTCGGGTTATCATCGTTGTAGCGGGTTACGCACGAGCGGATACATATAGCCACTTGATTACGAAGGGTTTCCACGGATAGAATGTTACATTTGACAGACCACTACATTTAGACTTTCTATTGGTAGAAAGGCAAAATCTTTTTACCAATTACAGCAGTAGGATTCTGCCAACCATTCGTTGGCAAATACCTTTCATAGATAATATGACTTTTAGGAGAAAACCCGAACAAAGACATAAAATCGCGAATAACACTTATTCTACCGTAAATCGACTTTGTTTTTATTAATCAAATAGTAAGTAAAACTACTTTATGCTCCTTCATACGTGTGTAAAACGAAGTAGTGGGCACACACTAGCCCATTACAATTGTAGTTTGCAAAGCGGGCCATACACCCATTATACGTGGTATCGATGCCTCCTTGTCGTTCAGCCGCAAGCCATATACGTTCGTCGTCTGAGTTAGTTCCTATATGTGAATCGAATTCATGAAAGAGCCGCGACCATGTGTATATTACATAGCTTAACTCTACTAACCTCAAAGCGCTCTGGATACGACTTATTCGACAAGCCTTCTCCCGCGTAATCACTGATAACCCCGTCTTTTTCAAATGAATTGATTCGCGATTAGCTCTGTCCCTCTACTCCAGTACTTCTCGATGCGTGTAAAAGCGAATTTTCGTCATCGAAGTCTCTGATTACAGTAGTGAATATTGCTGGCACATAATCCTTGTACACATTCGATGGCATCCCCACGGCATTAATAGTCAGAATTGAATAATACATTTTTACTGGCCACACAGTACAGAACATCCCGCTCGATTTAATCAACCGAGTCCACAAGCTCTTGCGAGTTTTGGTAGGCAATATCACAACAGAAAGTCGTCCCCCACAACCAGGGATACTCAAAATACAATATAATACAACTGCTTGCCGTGCGGTGGAATACATATCGGGTCAAATGAGACCAGAGCAAGGAAATAAATAATTGCAATTGTGGTGAGACAGTAAATTATTGCATGCCAAGCGTGCTAGCCTTCTACTTCTCTAGACACGCATCCACTGTCGCCACATCCCAGAAGCCTCCATTAACCTTCAGAAAGAGAATCATTTCGAGAGTCATAGGCAACAACCTGTGTCGCTCATGTGGAACCACGGCAGGAGCGATACTGAAAAGCCTCTCTACTCGATTCGACGTAGGTGGGATAGCTGATATGAGCATCTAGGTCGATGGATTGGCAACAAAATTGCGTCGTTTTAGGATTTGATCAGCAAACCCTTCCTTTGCGGTAGAACTCGTCAATTCCGCGGTGCTCAAAACCTCCGCTGGCACACGAAATGGTTCCAAAGCTCTGGCTTATTCGTTCGTCAACAAGCCGGCATCACCTGCCAGCACCTTGACAACCGCTGCTTCAAACACAGGCGAGTGCACAATTTCGGCATCAGGCGCTGTCGTCGCACAAAAAAACGCAAGATATTAGTATCTCTCCGTCACAATAGTTTATAGAAACACTTACAAAGATAGGTGGTCATTGAGGGCCTCAATTCGAACAGGCCGTCAAACAAAGCGCGTGCATCGAGCAGGGTTAACTCGTCCCCCTGTAATTTCTTGGAAATCGATTCGATGCACCGCAACTTCGACAAGAGATCCTCCAGCTTACGATGATCTGCTCTTGACGGTAGCAGATCCGCCATGTCGTCATCGTCAGCAGAAAGGAATTCACGCAGGCGAATGTAGCGTTCAAGCATGGAGAACGTCGAGGACCAGCGTGTATCCTGACGCAGAATTGGCATCAAGGGTGTCTTCATCCTAATACAAAAATAGATTCGCACAAATTTAGGTTAATCCAAATCCCAATTATCAAATCACAAATCACAGATTTTGTATACCTCAGTTTTGCAGCTTGGTTTAACGTACGAAGCTTCCGCATAAGCTGCTGAACTTGATCAAGCGCAGTTTCAAAAGGAACAAGAAACTCTCGAACAGCGAGATTCAGACGATGGCTTGCGCAGCCAACTAGCGGCACATTCATCAGATTTGCAAGCCGTTTGTTGACTGCGCAGTTATCACCAACGAGAAACTTGCAGCCGTTAATAGTCTTACCAAAAAATGGCAAGAACCGCTCAATTGCTCCCATGTATTCAAGTGTTCGCCAGGCTCGTCCATAACGGGAGCCATAGACAACAGAGGGTACCACCAGGCGAGTCGTAGCATCCGTAAATAGCCAAGAACTGCTCCGTGCCGTGGCTCCTGTCGTCCAGCATCAGGACAAACTCGTCTGGCATCTCTTCACCGATTGCCTTCTCCACCGCCTTGGTCACGCTTTCCATGTTGGAGACCAGAGCGTTCACAGACACAGGAGCCAGTTTAGTGTACCTACCAAAAATAGTATGACATATTGGTCAGATCAAATTTTGAATCGTAATAAAAGCATGCTCATAGTTAGTACTTACCTTCGCGTCTCCACGGACTCACAGAATGAGAGCGGCAGATTGCCCATGACGATCCACTTCATCCATGCGTAGCGGTTGGAAGCTTTCTGATTCACTCAGGTCACGAGAGTGCCAGTCGCTGCTGCGGTTGTGTCGAGCATTTCTCGCTCAAAATGGGGATGCCACTCGGACATGCGACACCAGGTTGGTGTAGCCGCTCTACGGCAATGCTTACGCTGCTTTCCGCACGCATTGCAGACATGATATCCAGTCAGCTCGCCTTCTTCATCAAGCCATGGCTTGAAGAAGAAGGCAGCGATCTGCCTGGGAGTGAAGGGTGGGGTTGTCGCGGGGGGCATGGCGTTCTAGGACGGGGTGGAGGTGGTAACGACTTCAGTGAGCTTTTGAAAATGAATTTGCCAGCCAACGTGTAGCGTGTGTGCGCACTATGGCTCACAGTCTACAATTTCGTTGGTAGTGAGAGCTTAAAAATAAAGTATCACCAGATTTGTTACTGTGACATAAATAACTGACCTGGATCAAAAATGATCACAAATAAATAATTGTTCCGACCAATAAAAATGAACCTTTTCCGGTATTTATCTTTGAGCATCCCTGCACACAACATTATCGTCAGTTTGTTATATTTAAATGTGTAAATACTCATCTGGATATCATAGCTCCCGATTATCTGCGCTCCCTTTGATGTCTTCGTACTCCGCAAATGCTTGAACTACACTTTTCCTGTCACGACAACCTTTTGACGTAATATGCAACCGTTATTTGAAAGCAACTTATTGTACGGATCATATATGAAGGGCCCAAATATTCGTGCCATTTGTCATAATATTAGTTGAGTTCTACTGTGAAGTTTGTGTAACATTTTAGGAGGAGGGTGGTAGTTCTTGGGTAAAATGAAACGTGACATTGTTAATTAGAGTCTGGAGGATATCTACACTCTCTTGTGTCCATTCCTTCAGCCTGTATTAGTCACAATGATCCGTCCCGTAAACTGTACTGTAAACTTACCATCAACTGTATCCATAATTTGGTACCATACTCTAATCCGATAGTAAGCGTACCGTAACCTTGGGTAAGGATGCATCACATCATATTAATCCTCTCTGTCTTGAGAAGAAATTAAAAGCCTATGTGGTGCAGAATTGCACATGACAAGGCCCTAACGCCTTCCAGAAATACTCCCCAAGACTCATCGTTGTGTGGATGATGGTGGTCACATGAACACAATAAGAGTTATAGATCCAACAAAGCATGGTAAAAAGACTATGATGGTAGCACTCGAAAAAAAAAGAACACTGCATCTTTCTCGTAAGCGTTTTAAAACATTGTAATATTCAGTAGTTTAAGAGCAATGACAAGTAATACGTGGGCAAAATGACTATACTGTCCACACTATAACGCCAACTACATGGTCGACTGTACCAAAACGCATGTGTTGAGGAGGTGGGTTTGTGACCTCGTCAATCAAATTCATCCATTTAGGATGGGTTTGCCATCACCTTTTTTTTACGACTCAAACCTCTATGTTTGGGAATCTCTAGCGCAAAAATGACTACGAATTCGTCATTTTTAAAAATATTTTCATAATCTAACCCGTCTTGCTTCCCCTATATCTAACTAACTGTCGCATATGTAAAGTATGCAACGTATGGACCAACTAGCCACTTGAAATGGGCCCTTCACTTTATGTCCTACATTACCTATCCCCCCCCTCAGCACGTGTATGATACACTGTATCGTCTATGATAGAGCACCCTTGCAGCGCATGCGAGATGTTTCCTTTTGATGAGGAAAGAAGAAGAGAACATGTTTACGGGAATTCATTTTCCCGCCAAATGGCTCATACTCACCCACCCCTGGACGTGGGTGAATATGAAATCGCGTGGCATTTGCTGGAAAATCATATGGGATTTGGGTCGAAATCGCGTGTTATTGCATTTGGATTTTGACCAAGTCTGACACCCCCTAATATAACGAATTAACGTGTACTGAAAACAATACTGCAATGTATATGGCCATCTCCCTAAAATTCAGTACACTAATACTAGTACTGGATTATGGAAATTCCACCAATGTGGAAACGGAAATGGAGTGTCTAATTCAAAGCTTCCCGTGTCCGTATGCAACTATTCCCCCCTCTCTCTCTCACCATAAGCACCACTTGTCGTTCTAGAGTGCAGTGGCGCGTCGAACGACCACTTCTGTAACAGCAGCGATAACTGAAGAAACAGGCGGAAACGGAGGTCGCCCCATCTAGCATTTTCAAATTGAGACCACCCAATACAAAATGATACTAATGTGCCATTTAGAGTTATCGAGATAATCGCGTTCAAAATTGGGCCATCATTTTTTGTACCTACACGAATTTTTGAGAAAACGGACAAAAACTGTTTTGAAAATCCAAACGGTCAAAAACTGTTTTGAAAATCCAAACGGTCACTAAAGCGAGCCCACTCATTTGCCAAACGGCTTTCAAGAAGATATCAGTGTCCACAATGCTTCGCCAACTACCACGGCGGCTGTCGCCCCCACTTTCGCCCTCTCAAGATGTTGCAGCCACTCCGCTCTCTGCTTGCGACTTTAGTGCCGTGACGCCCAGCGAGTGTGCGGTGGACTCGCAAGTTTTCAGAGTCCAGCTCGCTCAAGGCACCAACATTGACGAGGCTACTTCCAGTCAAGAGCGAGCAACACCTGTCTCCAACCAAGACGACGTTCATGGAGATGAGAGCGAAGAGGACGAAGATGAACCTCTCGAGGACAGTGATGCTGAGGACTGGGGCCCCGACGACGATCCTGATGACGTAAAAGTCGTCATTGGAGAAAGCGCTGGAAGTGAAGTTGAGGAGGACATAAATATCAATTTGATTGAGAGCGATGTTCGCCAGTGCGTGACGGACCTGATTACTGGAGACGAGTGCGAGATGGGTTGTCTGAAGGGAAAGTCACGCGAGCTGGAATGGCTCATGTGCTCTCTTGGCCAGATGACCAAGTCGGAGAAGACGACGTGCATCTTAACTCTGGTGGGCGTCTTGATGCAGACGGGTACCGCAACTAGACGTCGTGGCAAGGGTGAACGCCAGAAGTTTCACTAATACTTGCCGTTCGTCGACCAAGTTTGTCGATCAGCCTTCGCTCACTGCCTTGGTGTAAAGCCACTTACAATTCAACGTTATAGGCGTCGCGTTCGAGAGGGGAATATTGCACCCAAAGAACATGGCAAAAAACTCAACAAGAATGCCTCCTCCATAGATGCAGTTTGGTTGGTCAAGTGGTTTAAAGAGTTCGCTGCCGAGGTAGATGAGGTGGTACCAGTGCGTGTTCGCACGCAGAAAACTAAAGACGGCGTGGTGAACAAGTACTATAGCCGTGAAGACTACACCCTGTTACCTGCAACGTTTACCTGGAACGTTTTGCATGAAGAAATGCACAAGTACGTGGCTTTGGGTCTTCACGTGAACGAGCCCGCGCCTTCCACCTTCA